ATATATATATATATATATATATATATATATATATATATATATATATATATATATATATATATATTACCTTCAGTTACATGTCCCGTGAGAGGGGTTTTCCCTTCAATTTTCTTAAATAAGCGGATCAGCATCATGCAGCAACACGCTGCAGCAGCATGCAGCAGCAGCACGCAGCAGCAGCATGCAGCAGCAGCATGCAGCAGCATGCATCTAAATACTGTGGGGTACGACAGCATCAATGATGCCTCTTTGTTTTGCTTCTTCTGCTGTAAATACTCTGCACTGCCGACGCCACGCAGACACCTGAGCAGCAGCACAATAAAAAAAATAAAAAAATAATAAATATAATGATTTAAATTTTAATAATAAATATAAAAAAAGGAATAATGATAAAAATAAAATAAAATATACAAAAGAAGGAAAACAACAACTAAAAGCAATAAAATTTGAATAAAAAAGACAATAAAAATATATAAATAAAAATAATAGTTTAATAGAAAGAAAAAACGCACTTCTGCTGCTGAGGTGTCTGTACACCTCGACAACAAATATTCAAATAACTTTTCTTGTTCTTCAGCTACAACCAAAAAAAAATAAAATGTAAATAAAAATAAAAAACAATAAAAAATATAAATGAAAAGAATAATTTAATAAAATAAAAACACTTACTTCTGCTGCTGAGGTGTCTGTACACCTCGACAACAAATATTCAAATAACTTTTCTTGTTCTTCTGCTGCTGCTGCTTGCCGCATTAACTCATCAGCTGAGCCCTGAGCTGTACCTGCAGTATAAAATATAAAAATATAAAAATAAACGTATAAAATACAAATATATATATATATATATATATAAATATAAATATAAATATAAATATAAATATAAATATAAATAAATTAAAATAAATAAAAGTTCAAATGCCACTGCATGCACAACTTGTACAGTATGCGCATGCAACAACAATTCACGCATACTACTCCCCTTTTAAAATTATATATATATATATTTATAAATTGTCCTTTTAATATA